TTTTTTTTTTTGCTTTCAGCAGAAACACGGGTTTTTTTTTTTTTTTTTTTTTCCTTTTTTTTTTTTTTTTTTTTCTAAAAAGAGCTCTCATGATAAGAAGAAGCATCAATGGGGACATTTCATTGTGCTCATATAGTAAGTCAGGATGGTCACAGAAGATTCCACCGCGCGTCAGTTCGGACAAGGGGTAAGAAACTCCTCTTGGTTCACACGCTACGACACCAAAACCCACAAAGTGTTTTGTTTCTCCTGAATCTCTCCGTCTGCGGCCGCTGGCGCACATGTCAAGGGGCGTTGTCTTTGTCAGCTCTCTCATTCCTCGTGACTCATTTCTCATTGCTCGAGCTCAGCTTGCAAGTGGTCTTTATGCTAATTTATAAATAATTCCTTATTTTATAAAGCAGATACTCTGACAATGTTTCCTCCCGAATACTCGGGAGACTCTGGCCTATCATCTCCTTCGGGTGTGGTGACTGGAGGTGTCGGGATGCTAATTATTGCTGTAGTGACGTAAGGCTGCTCACAGTTTAGTTTAACACACTCTTCCACTTTGGCATTTAAGCTGGAACGGCTGGAGGAAGAAACAAAAATCCATGAAGAGAGAAAGTCTACGGTACTGTGCACCTCTCATGTGCCCAATTCCACTCCCTCAGCCAGCCGTCTCCATCCTGCCCCATTAGAGAGCTCAGAGGTGCAAAGCAGCACCAACCCACCGCCCTGCACCCTGGCAGAAGGTGGTCCATGGCTATGTCCATGGACAGGCCCCCTTTCTCCCTTCCTTCCCACCATTTCAGCACTTCTAAAAGTTTCTGGCCTCATCACCTAAGTGTTTCTGAGCAGGGGAAGCATTTGAGCTGCTCCCTGGGGAGCAAACTTCACATAGCCAAATGACTTGCTACGCGGGAAAGTGGAAACTAAGGGGTAGTCCCAGTCTCCTACCGATTCCTCTATGCCATGCTTATTTAAGAACATTTTGAATATTACGTATCCTCAAGAGTAAGACACAGTGATACATGCACTAATAAAGGTTAACGTGTTCATGGAGTTGCTGCCGTACCTCAGCATTGTAAGAAACTTGTAAAACTCAGACCACTTTGAGGTAAGACTGGCATTTTGTGCTTGTGTTTTTAGCTTTTTTTTTAGCACAAAGCTGGTGCTTTGTGTTTTTACACACTTTTTGACTGGAAGTATGGTGCAGGAAAGTCCTCTAGCAGAGAAAGGGTGGATCCAGGCAGAATATTTCCTGAGAAGCTAAGACAGATTGGAGCTTTGTGCTGGCCAGGAGGTCTCATTGCACAACAGCTGAAAAACTTCTGTAGCTACAAGCTTCTGGATTGTTCATGGAACTGAAATCCAAACCTAGTAACTACATAAAGCAAGCTACTCAAAATGTAACTTAACAAGACAATCTCTATAGCAACTAGTGCTGAAAATGCTTCTTTTTTAAATGGCGGCATGTTTGAGTTCAATAGAAAACACTTCTGAGTCTCCTGAGACCTTTGCTGTGTTTTCAGAGATGATGTTTGGATATACCTGAAAGCCAAATGGTTTACTTGTGAGAGTACAGAGATGTTCAGTAAATTACAGACTCTTAAAGTGCACTTTCCTCACTTTTGTAATAACTCCTCAAACTAGGAAACACATTTTTCTTACCCATTTCATATTTTTTATTTAGAAGAGTCTTTCTTATGACTATTACACTTAGGACTCTGGGAATTAGTTTTATTTCGCTGCTCCGTGGAAATGCGAGGAAGCCTCATTTGTCCTTTGCGTCTGAACCAAACCAGTAGAAACAGCAGGGACAGACCTTTCTTTCTCTTCCCACTTGCTCGTCTTGTATATCTGAATTGCACATTTTTCTATGCTAAATTTTGATATTTGATGATGTTTGGTGCACTATTTAATTTGGGGTCCCTGGATGCTATTCGCTGCAAATAGCACACAGTAGTTTGTGGGGAGGGCATGACAGGGCAGAAATGGATGTAGAGAGACTATCTGTTATCTTGGAGTAAGCTTGGAGCACACTAAGTGCAGGGTGTTTCAGGACTAGTGTCCATTTTTGGATGACTATTTGCCTTTCATCTTTAGCCTCGCGGCCCACCTGCAAAGGCCACAACGCCTCTACATTTCTTCTCTAACGAAGAAAGGGGCTTCAGCTCTCGATGTGCTGATGCATGTGAAGTACCTGTTAGACAGAGGCGTCCTCTCCACGCATCTGATCTGGATGGTGCTGAGCTCTTGCACGCTGCCTGGACGGCTGCCAGTGATGGTGGTGTTTGGGATGCGGTACGTCTTTTTATGTCTTCGTGAGCAGCAAGTGCTGGTAACACCTTGTTGAGATGAGAGAGAGGGGCTGTGGCTGGGGGGTCTATTGACTGTGGAAACCTCCATGCAGCTCTCTTCATAGACTTGCTCATCCACAAACTCGTGATTCTAGCCCAGAGGAATCCAACAAAGGGACAAAGCACACACAGAAAGATAATTAAAGTTAATGTATTAATCATGATTGTTTAAAGGCTTAAATTGACACAACTAAATAAACTGGGCAAGTTAGACAGCTTATTCTTGATTATGGTGTTTAGCCCATATTAGCCTGGGCTGAATACCAATATAAATGTAAACGCTGGAACAAAACGCTCAGAGCTCTAAATAAGAAAAAAGTTAATCCAAATTATTTTGTGAAATAGCACATGATTGTAATGTAGTTTGCATTATAAATATCTGTATAATCTATGAAGTACCACAAAATAGGGGATTGTGTTTATTAATAAAAATGCAAGTGGTGCTTATGTAAATGCTCTAAATGTCATTTGGAAATAAATAAGATTTATTGTACTGAACTATAATAAAATAAAAATCATAGAAATTTTCCAGATGAGTTTATAAAGCTTCCTGTTGAATTACATATTAGAAATCAGGATCTGAAACAGTGTGTTTTGAGGTATGCATCTACGTAAAAGAAAAAGATTCAATTAAATAGAAGTTTTGATGAGGGGAGATGAGACTGTTATTTAAAAGCATCCAAGAAGTTACTAATTACTGTAGATGAATGTATTGAAAGCAGTTTAGAAGACTGAGCATTTAGTTAAATTAAGTAGTCTTTATTCATGCAATCTTTGCTTAATCCCAGCATAGCCAGTAGTCTTATAGGGTTGTCATAGAGCTGAATCCTAATTCAAGCAAACGGCTGGTTTTCGTTGACTCAGTGGGTGCTTAGGGAGCGTTTCACACATAGCCGTGATTTCCACATTATCTTTGTGTGCAAAAGAGTGTGAAATAGAGGTGTTGCTTATGGGGAGAGGAGGAATTTTTACAGTCATTTTAAAGTAGCAGCCCAAACTAAAGAAAGATTAAGATAAATTCATGTGCAGTGTGAGAAAGCCTCCTTTTAAAAAAAAAAAAATCTTTCCAGTTACTGCTGGATTCAGTCTGCATATCCTGAGATTGGTTTAGGGAGCATTTTCTGGGTTGTTTTACGCTCTACTCAGTCTTGTTCACTTGAAGTTTGTTAGCCTGCTGCGTCTTTCTGTATTAGAATGAGAAGCAGCATTTTTTCCCCTAAAGACCGATGCGCTAATTGGAAAGGTGCTGATGTTTTCCAGGAGAATTACAGTACAGTGCTAATATAAAATATAAAATATGTGAGCAAAATAAGTAGAGTCGCAACTGTAGCCAAGTGTTTGCGACAAATGGAAATACCTTTATAGGCATATTATTTTTATTTCCATTTCTTCTGTTCTCCTTCACTCAGACATGAGTTTGGGTGGAAATGAGTGGTGTTGAAGAATGCCGATTTCAAGTGATATGGAAAAAAAGAACTTGCTTGAAAGTTGATTTCTGTAAGATGTATGTCAGTCACAATCAAGATTTTGAATGTGATCACACAGCGGACATAAAATTCAGAGAGAAAAATTACCTAATTGCCATCTTTAGATTATATGTTCAGTGGCTTGCAGTATGTTTGCCAAGAACTCTACTAGTTTTCCAATTAAAAGTAATTTTGTGCTTCCTAAAACTTTTATGGAGCAACCAACTCAATTCAATTTGTAGGGTCCATTAAAGAGGGTTATTGAGTGAACTTTTAATATAGACTGGAAACATTTTGAAATTATATAATGGCTCAAGTTAATATACTTGATCATACTTATTAATTAACTGTTCTTAAATCAGCTAAAAGTAGCCTGTAAAATATAACTTTTGGTGCATTTATTTTCATTATTAATGTAATTTTCACAGAATTCCATAACATCTCCCACACTGCATTTTTTAGAGTGCAAGAGATCTTATTCTATTGACTTTAAAGTGACGGAAAAGAGAAAATATGCGTTTGCTTAACATCATCTGGACTGGTGCTTGTACCAAATGATATTTCAAAGGATGAGGTGAGGTTAAGAAGGCACCTCACTCTTGCTATTATATCGTGAACCAGCAACTTGCCAGATTCCACAAGCTGAGGGCCCATAATTTCAAGTTCCCACTGAAGTTTTAGGAATGCTTCCTCCAGCCAGGCAGTTGCAGAACACAACTTGGAACCCCTGCATACATTTTTGTGTTCATGTGTCATATGAACGTCAGTGTCAGTAGCAGGACCCAACAAACAAGGAAAAAAGAAAGTAGATTCTATGCAAATTTAGGAAACAAGACAATGCTTGCTTTATAGACTTATTCTTTGTTTAAAAAAAGAAAAAAAGAATAAGCTTACATAATTGACCATTATGATTAGAAAAAATGTGAAACTTTGGGAGCCGAATCCAGCTTCCACCATATGAATAGAATTTTTTTTCCATGATTTCTATGAGAGTTTGACAAGACCTGTGGCTACTACTAGGGTTTTAAATATGTTTCTAATGTTCAGCCGTGGAACAATTTTTAAGGGAGATCGCTATTATCAGGTTCTAGTACAAAATGTCTCAAAAATGTTCCAAATGTTCCAAAAATGCCAGCCTGAATCTTGGCAAAGAAAACACATGATACTCTGAATAGGAAGCAAGACATTTTGTCCTACACCACATTATATAAAAATGAATACTTCAAAAGTAAGAATAGGGAAGAAATAAGCACCTGTGGGATGACATATTACTAAGTGATGTAACAACAGGGCCATTCTATTTACAAAGAAATGCTGTTGAAAGGAGAACATTAAATTATACATATACATGCATCATATTTTAATTTAGCAATGTCTGTTGCGGGAAAACTTTTTAATCTCTTTTTTTTTTTTTTTTTGAGAAAGAGCAGAAAGTCTTTCACATTGATCTCCATCAAATATAGCAGAAGCATTACTGGGTCTTTTAATGAAAATCTAAAACTAGACTACAAAGATAAGACAATATAGCATAAAGTTCCTCGATGTATACAAAAATTAAAGAGAAATCATATAATTTTTTACATGCATCTGGAACTTGTGAAACTAGATATAAATTCGTAAATGGTAGTTTAATGGATGTTGACCAACTTATCTACAATATAAGGTAAATTCTACATGACAATATAACCCTCACAAAAATATAAAAATACAAAGATGTAATTTTAGTGTCCCATATGTTAAATTCCCAAATCTACAAAGATTAAGTTCAATATAAGTAATATTTATGTTCTTAGTTTCTTTAGGAAATGATAAAAGAGGAAACAATGTAAATTTAGGGATGGTTAAGGTTATTGCTGTGGTGTTATCTGTCCAGAAATATACTATTAGTAAACATGGCACTTCTTAGTCATTACTGAATCGTAACTCTGGTGCAGTTTACTATCCTTTATGGCTGTATAATTATTCAGGTATTGACCAGGGAAAAATATAGAGAGCACGTAATAAGTAGTCCTTTGGATTTATAGGGAGTTTCAAATCTAGATACGTATATTTGGGCTGTTATGAATTACATCAGTGATTTCTACAGGGATCTCAGTGTCTAAACTGAAGCCAAAAGACTTTGAAGCTTTGCATCTGCATCTGGATTAAGCGCTTGAAGTTTCACAATAGGATGCTTGGGGATCCTCTTTTAGAGTCATTTCAGTGAGAACTGCGTTCACGTCGGAGGAAACACTCAGCAGCTCTCCCTGTACAAAAGCCCAACATTTGCTCAGGCAAAAACTTGCTTTGACTGTACTGAGTATTGAATGTGTAAGGATTACAAATTGTGTTTTATGAACTGTACTGCAGAAAAGTGCAAATGATAACATTATGGAGTGCATGAAAACCACACCGAAGGTCACATATACAGCTTGGCTATACTGACATCAACTCACTGATGACAATATCTTTCACTCTAGATGAGGCTCTCCCCCAGGATCTCTCTGTTATTTACGTGCAGTGGGTATAACACCTTAAAATAAGATAAAATGGCTTTTCTTCCCAGTTAACTGCTTTCATATAAAGGCTTATTAATTAGAAGAAATACCGAAAACATTCAAAACTATGCTGGTGTTGGAATTCACAGGAAAACACAGTTGTCTTTTCTTACCGTAGTTTTTTCCAGGCAGTGAAGCAGGTGGTGGTGCTGCGTTTCAAAGGAAGAGCCAGATTTGCTAACAAAGGCCTGTTCTTCTTCACTAGAGGACTGTTAATACATAGAACTCTGTATTATTCTCATTTGTGAACAAGAGGGCTCTTATCCAAATATTTGATCAGAACTAATCTGGATTGTACACGGTAGCATAACTGCAATGCTTCGTCTACAGGGTATAACCCAAATCATTCTGGACCTGAGTTCTCTTTTGCTTGTTTGTTTTTTAATTAAAACATTTCTTTCCTTCCTTTGCACCTCCTTTTAAATGTTTCCATCTTAAGCCTTTTATGCATAGATGGAATAGTACAATTTACAAGTGCAATCAACATGTAAGCTTTGAATGTTGAATCAATGCATACTTAAAATTATTATAAATTTAAGTGACAGTAAAATATTTTTTTTTCCTGGGAATGTGCCTCATTTGAAGGAAATTAAACATAGTTGTCCTCCTGGGATCATTTCATAGCACTAAGGAATTTCTGGTATTGCTGCTCACACAAAAATTCATGACAGCGATCCCAATCTGCTGAGTTTGAAAAGCATACAGCAGATGTTACTGACACAGAATGAAGAATTAAGTAGAAAGCATCCACTGTTTATCAATTGCTTTCACAATTATTCACTAGAAAGCAGAAAACTAAATAGAGGAGGAAGTGGGATAATAGGAAAGATTACAATTCAACTTTGGGATATTTGAAATCTGCATGGCAATTAAGTTACTTGGTGTCTTTTTAGTTCAAATATTTGAGTTCTTTCAAGCAGGAGAGGAAGCGAGGGCTCTGACTGCTTGTCTTTTGTGCTAGACCGGACAGACAGACAGCCCCTTCCTCCTCTTCTGGCTATAGGTTAAAGCATTCGGCTTTTTAACATGTATTGAATAGAAAGGGCATAGAAGAATGAAAGCCTTCCTGTATCCCTCAGAGAACTGCCTAAATGCCTGAAGATGGCAGGGATTAAAAAACACTGTGTCTTCAGTCTTTCTCAGCTGGCTACAGCTCCAAGCAGCCAAGGGGCTGTCTCCAGCAGCGCAGGTCGCTGTGGATCCCGGTCCCAGCCGCTGCCCATGGCTCCCGTGGCTGGTCCTGACTTCCTCAGCAGGGGTAAGGGGGGAATTTGCTTCAGGGAGCATTAGATTTCGATGCGTTTGAGGTAATCACCAAGATTCTCCTTAGAACAAAGTAGGCGCTTCCAGGGAATGCTTTTCACTCTGCAACACCCCTCTGTGCAAATGGTAGCCCGGAGCTACCTCTTTC